TAGGATTAAGTGATTACTCCCTGATTTATTGTACCAGGAAAGTGGTTAGAAAAACATATGGTTTCCACAGGACTTTGCAAATAAGATCACTAAAAACTACAACCCTGTCGACCTGGTCAGATTATTATCTGAAGTAGACTGGACACAGGTAACGAATACCACTTGTGTTAACACTGCATGGGATAAATTTAAAAACAAGTTTATTACTATAATCGACACTATTGCTCCAAGGAAAGAAATCCGGATCAAACATTCTTCTGATCCGGGAATAAACGGTGACATCCTGGAAAAAATAAAAATTAGGGATAATTTATTCCATAAGCTTAAAAAAGGTAAACATGATTATGACCTCTTTAACAAATACTGTAAATTAAGAAATCAAATTCAGAAGGACATAAAAAAGCAAAATCTGAATACTTTAAAAACATAATCGAAGAAGCTAGTGGAGATCCAAAAAAACCCTGGAGACACCTGAAAAATCTAGGATATAATAAGCAAAAAAGCAAATACGTCAAAGGTTGCACTAAACATCAATGGCTCAACTTGTTTTGACACACACAAAATTGCTTGTCGATTCAACGAATTTTTCACAAAAATTGCTGCCAGTCTAGTTAGTAAATTGCCAGCTATCTCAACATATTTGGTACTCGATGTGCATCCTTTAGGAATTTCTATAGAAATAGAGGTGTACAACCTGATAAATTCAGGCTAAAAATTGTTGATGAAGAGTTTATATTGCAAGAGCTTTCAAATCTTAACACGGCAAAAAGTACAGGACTTGATAAAATTCCTGCACGGTTCCTAAAAGATGGTGCTAGTATATTAAAAATTCCATTACGCACATTATAAATCTGTTCATAACTTCAAATACTGTACCTAGTGATTTAAAACAGGCAAAAATAATACCAATTTTTAAGAAAGGAAATAAGGCTGAAGTGGGGAATTATAGACCTGTAAGTATATTGAACATTGTCTCTAAAATACTTGAAAAAGCTGTGTATTTTCAAATGGAAAAATATTTGCATGAAAACAATATATTATTTGAACATCGATCGGGATTTAGAAAGCACTTTTCCACCGACTCTTGCCTCATGCACTTGACTGATCACATAAAATCAAATATATCGAATGGCCTTTATACTGGAATGGTACTACTTGATCTGCGCAAAGCGTTCGATACGGTTGACCACGCCATCCTCTGTGAAAAGCTAAAAGCGATGGGCATACAGTCAGTGGAATGGTTCTCTTCTTTCCTCACAGAAAGGTGTCAAAATGTTAATATAAATGGTGTTTCGTCCTCGAATCTTCCAATCACATGTGGAGTCCCGCAGGGCAGTATTTTTGGGCCCCTTCTTTTTGTGCTATATTAACGATATGGCCATCAGTGTTGGCAACGGTAGTAAGATTTTATTATATGCAGATGATACCGCCATCATGTATTCTCACAAAGATCCAAAATATATTGCTTATATCGTCAGTGAAGCTTTACAATCATGTAGTTAACTGATTAGTTAACTGATAACAAGCTGTCTCTAAATGTTGAGAAAACTGAATGTATTCTTTTTGGATCTAAGCCTAAACTGAGAAATGCAAACAAATTTAAGATTAAATTTAAGGACCATTTTATTAAGGCAGTTAAATCAGTCACATATTTAGGTATGGAATTGGATCAAGCATTGTCTGGGGAGACCACTGCCAATAAAATAATCAGAAAGGCAAATGCTAAACTTAAATTTTTGTATCAGCAAAGTAAGTGGTGTTTTCCGACGACCAGTAGCCTAGGAATGTATTTAAAGCGGTAATTTTCTTAAAATTGCAGAAGATATTTTGGTCGAACTTTCTATATTTGATTCAAGACATATTACTTAACTATTGTAGGCCTAAATTTTTTATATTGAAAAGATCGGAACGGAATTCGTTTTCTAGACGTCTTTTGAGCTTCACCCCATGGCCTATATTTAGGTATGGAACTGGATCAAGCATTGTCTGGGGAGACCACTGCCAATAAAATAATCAGAAAGGCAAATGCTAAACTTAAATTTTTGTATCGGCAAAGTAAGTGTCTAAATTTAAAATGCCGTAAATTACTCTGCTCTGTCTTGATACAATGCCACTTTGATTATGCCTCTTCAGCATGGTATTCCGGACTAAGTAAACAAACCAAAAACAAACTTCAAGTTGCCCAAAACAAAATTGTACGATTCATCAAGAACCTACCTCCTAGATCCCATATCGGTAGAGATCAACTGTCCAGCATTGGGTATCTCAATATTAAAAACCGAGTAAAGTTTCTTCGCCTCTCCCATGTACACAAAATAGCCAATGGATACAAAGCCACTTACCTATCAGAACATTTTATGAGAGTAAATCAATTCCATCAGCATCGAACTAGAGGCTGTATGCACAAATTTGTTGTTCCGTCTGTTAAGGGTATTGCATCATCTTCCTTTTTCTTTAATGGTATCAAAGATTGGAACAGTCTTCCGATTTCAATACAGAGCATAAATAATAAAAAAAACTTTAAAAGTGCAATAAAAACTCATTTGGGAAATCAGATGCGCGGGTAATGTTTTCCAATTTTTGGGGTGAAACTTTTCTTTAATTCAATAATTTCAACACAACATTTTAAATTCAAATTATCTCTCTTAATATAATATAATTTTTAATAAAAATAATAATAATTCAAAAGTGCAATAATAATTATAGTTAGTAATAATAATGGATTCAACGTTTTTAACTTTAAATTTTCATCATTCTTAACATATTTTAATAATAATAATAATGATAATAATGATAATAATAACAATAATAATAATAATAATAATAATAATAATAATAATAATAATAATAATAATAATAATAATAATAATTCAAAAGTGCAAAAGTAAATCATTTGGGTAAACGCTTAATTAAGCTATGATGTGCAATATTTCAAATAAGAGTGCATCAGCTCTTTTTTATATAGCTTTTTTAATATCTATTATATTTTGGTTTTTGTTGTCAATTTTGGCTTTTTATTGTTAACTGTTTTGTGTTTCTTGCGTGGTAAAAACGTTTACAATTTTTTAAGGGCCCCAGTGGAAATAAGTTTTATATATTGTAAAACTTTCTTGGGTTACCCTAGGAATTAATGTCTTATCCTGTTCTTTATCTTTTATCTGTTCTTTGTATTTGTTTTATTTTCAAGTAATCTTGATTTTAATTCCTGAATAAAATGAAATGAAATGAAACATTTATTTAATTTATAATAATGCTTAGTATAATTTTAATTTTTTAGCCGCTTCTTGTTCTTTTTGATTTTAGCTGGTTTTAGTTATGCCCTATGTTTAGCTAATCAGATGTGTATAAGAGACAGAGGTTGCACTAAACATCAATGGCTCAACCTGTTTTGACACACACAAAATTGCTTGTCGATTCAACGAATTTTTCACAAAAATTGCTGCCAGTCTAGTTAGTAAATTGCCAGCTATCTCAACATATTTGGTACTCGATGTGCATCCTTTAGGAATTTCTATAGAAATAGATTTCTTTCTTGAGTTTGGGACTATGTGTTATAACTTAGAGGGCAAAGGAGAGCAAGCACAAGCTTTAACATTAAAAAAATGCGAAAAAATTTTTTGTTCTAATTCCTAATTTCGTCGGAATTGATCAAAACTCCCTAAAATGTGACTCGGTCGGGTACTGGATAAACATTCTCATTCCCATCCTTCTCCTCCTTCTTCCCTCCTTTTTTTGCATTTCCGATCATACAAAAATCTCCATACATTATATATTTTTGGCCAAAAAGTGGGGGGGGGGGGCCCGGGCCTGAGCACTATCATTTTCACCGGGCTGACAAGCCGTCGTACCGGGCTGGTAATAAGAGAAAAGAAAGAGGGGAGAGGGAGGGAAAGAGAAAGAAGAAGAAAAGAAAAGGAAAGGAAAAAGGAAAAGAAAAAGAGAAGAGAAACATAAAGACAAGAATAAAAAGCTTCCTGCAACCCCTTCTCCACCTGTCTCTTATACACATCTAGATGTGTATAAGAGACAGATAATATTCAGTCAGAGGGCTTATTTATGGTAATAATATGCATACTAAGCCTGAAGGTGGCGCTTCCCTACGGCAGCCATCTTGGATGGTACACATACACAACTCTGCATTGCTCCGCCATCTTGTCAGCACTCTAGTTGTTTAATAGCTCTATGGTTTAAACTCTGTAATATGGTAATAACCAGAGCCGTAGATAGAGAGAGTTTGGCCAACTTGGCGCATGGGCGCCATGTTGTCACCAAACAGCGTGCGCGCGTATAGCTTTATAACATTTTATAAAACACTGATGCTGCATAAACTTTTTTTCATTATTCCTGTCTCTTATACACATCTAGATGTGTATAAGAGACAG